GGATCCAGGTCTGTGTGTTAATACGTGGCCATGCGTGTGTGCTGTCACACTATGATGTAAAGGTAAAATAACCATCTATGGGTAAGTGAAAAGCATTACTCCATTATGTATATGCTGCATGGCTTCCAAGCTTTTCTAACAGCAAACTGTATACAGCACAGTCCCAGATTGCTCATTTGGCTCTGGGATTTGGAATACGCAACATTGCTAATACCGATATGTTCTGCATTTTACAGTTTTCCCCACATATGCACACAGCTGTGCAGGAGTGCACAATACCACGGAGTGAGTTAGGCTTCGGCACATAGTGAAGAACAGGTATGTCCTGTTATGACTTCAACGTGTGGCCATATTTAACAGTTAACTTACTGTCTAGTGCTGTTGGGGTCCTCACACCATTAAAGCCATTCTGTAAAAGGAAAGAAAAAAAAAATTAAAAACAGACATAATTACCAGGGCACGCAATTTCACTGCCAACTAGCTGAGACCCCTGTCCAGGGCAACTTTCATTGACTGTAAATTGATTTTAAATTGGATTTTAAATGGCTCAAGGCCACAAGAGCAGTGCCAGATTTCTCTCAGCCATAAGTTTCCTCCAGACTGCCGTCCTGTCAGTCCATAGGGCTGTGTGTCTCACCGTGACTGGTGCGGCGGACGTGTCCTTGCTCTGGGAGAAGGCGAGTCGGGAGTGGGGGGGTGCGCCGGTCTCGAAGCCGCTCCCGAGGAGGAGGAGGAGGAGGAGGAGGAAGACGGGGGAGTGGCGGCGCCGGGGGCGCCCAGGGAGGGGGTGAGGCTGGGCAGCGACACCGACGGGGAGGGGTAGCTGGAGTCAGAGGAGGCCAGGGGTAAAGAGAGCGAACTGCTCAGAGACTCGCTGTCACGCACAACCAAAGAGGTGGAGAGAAACACACACATTTGATGTTATGTTAAAGCCTCTCGCTTTCATAAGAAATGTATCCATTGTCAGAGGATTGACTGCAAGACAGTTTCACGATGCATGCAACATTAAAATGAACCGTCCAGTCTTCTACAGGCTAAAAACCCTTGCACAATTCCCAGGACAGACCTGATGGGTTTGGAGTAGAGGCTGCTCTGTGTCTGTGGTACCGGTACCGGTTCCCTGGTTGTGCTGCTGGCACAGTTCTCTGGCTGCCCAAAGTCCTGCAGGGCAGGTTCTGATCCGAAGTCCAGAGCACCAAACTGCACGTTCAGCCCAGAGACATCAGCTGAGCCTGGCATCTCCACTGCTGACGCAGGAATCTGTCAGGAGGAGAGATACATGCGCACAGTCAATACAGCCAAGTTCATCTCTTTCCAAGTCCCGCGGAAGCGATGAAATGACATCCAAAGGATCCTCTAGCAATTTACGACATGATGACCTCATAATAATAATTCTCTAAGGTGATTATACCAATTTGTTACTTTTCTCCCGTCCCTTTTTCACGGCAGATTCTGATTTGGCAGTTGGCCATGCCCCACTCATCTCACTGCCGAGTATCTCACACCAACTCAGGAAGCACTGAAGCAAAGCTGACGCACTCTGGAGGCCAAAGGCTACTTTGTACACAGAAGCACATCTCTCACAAACGACGGCCAGTTAAGTAAAGGGACCAAGCACTTATTCAGTGCTGTCTCAGAGAGTACTGGCTGAGTTTAAGCCCGCAGGATCCTGGTACAGAATTCATGGTCACGCTATTATGACATAATCTAGATTTCAGCCTTGGGGTGTCCTGGCGCAAGGGTCACCCTGCCCAGAGGGAATTCCTGTGCCAGCTGAGCCACTCGGGGGGTCCCGGGGGGCCGATTCGGGAAAGCGCTCGTACCTTAGAGGTGGGCGGTATCCTGCGCTTCTGCGTCTTCATCTGCCTGTGCTGCGAGGAGCTGCTCTGGGGCTCCGCCCCCACGGGGAGGAGGGGGAGGGGCATCAGCTTGGCACCGGGGGAGGGCCCGTCGCGGGGCGGGGAGGGGTCCCGGGGTTTGGGGAAGGACTCCAGCACCAGCGGAGAGGGGGCGGGGAGTGCAGGGGGGCTGGGCTGCCGGGCCACAGGGAGGGCTCCCGCCTGGGACAGAGAGCTCTGCTGCCTCTGCGTCAGCTGGCTCAGGACCAGGGAGGGGGAGGGCTCCGGCTGCGTCTTAAAGTCCCCTGGAAGACACGCCGCCATCGTCACTCCACCTGCCAGCGTCTGCCCACCCGTCCTCCATGACTCTCCAATACAAGCGTTCTTTAACGTCACCATTTGTTTCTCAATACGCTCACACTCACTGGTCTGGGAGTGCTGTTAGCCTGGTCTGACACTGTTGCTCTTTAACCCTTTCACGCATACAGTCGCACCGGTGTAATTAGCCCTTTCGCGCGTACGGTCAAACTGGTGTGATTAGAACACTAGACTAGAAAAATTCTGACGTTAGCTTTGACGAAACAGTAACTTAGCATTACAAAGTATAGAAAATGCAGCAGTGAAAAGTATAAGAAGCTTAATAACGCTAATGAAAACATAATCCATGTAACATATCAAGCACGCTACATAGCATAAAGTAAGTCATGTATGGGGTTAACTTGAATGGATACGCTAATGTGCAAGAAGTCACTATGGATAAGAGCATCTGCTAAATGCATGGCATGTAATGTAATGTAATGTAACGTAATGTAAAATAGAGCGTTTTTTAAAAAAACAGACACCACTGCGCCAAAAAGTAGCGGCATTTTGGTACTGTTCGTAAGCATCTGTAATGAATAAATACCTCCTTTGCTCCACAACAGGCCTCTAAGCTGTGCGGTTAAACTGTGTGCACGGGGTGCGTGCGAGTGTGTGTGCGAGCGCGGCACTCACGGCTGAATTGGGACGACAGCGAGGCGGTGCTCTGCGTCCCCACGGGCTTGATGTCCCACGAGGAGGTGGAGACGGACGGCCCGCCGGTCCCCGCGGCGCTGGGCGGCTGGCCGGGCAGTTGGCCCAGCCCCGGGCCCTTCAGCTGCTCCAGAATCTGAGCCCCCGCCGACGAGTTTGGCTTGGAGCCGCTCAGGTCCCCGAAGCCGGAGCCCAGGACCGAGGACTGGGGCGAGAGAGGCAGAGAGAATAAGGTCACAGCGCAGAAGTGATTCAGCTCAGGGATTGAGAGCAGTTTCTGGGGAAAAAGTTAAGGGAAGCGTTCCAAAGGGAGTGGATGTAACAGGCCAACACCAAGTCAAGGCTGATTTATGACCCTTTTGTACATCCAATACATTACTTTCCATTGCTTTTACTCCACAAGAGGGGTTCTTTATCCTACTGATTCACTGTTTGTTTACTCTTAACTTCAAAACTGCGTATTAGAGTTGCAACAGCAACTCAAAAAAGAGCCAAGGCATGTCCACAATCTGCGGTGTAATTTTGTTTAATTTCTGATGGGGTCTGAGCAGCCAAGGTCTTGTTGCAATCCTAGCACGAAAACAGACTCCATTTATCACAGTGTTCCTGATCTAACTATCAATCTGTCCTTCAGTCTGCCTGAGTTCCAGCGCTGTTTTTAAATGTCTGTCTGCGCTTACCCCCCCACCCCATCGGGGGTCTGTGCTCGCCTCGCCCGCGTCGGGGGTCTTACCAGGGCAGCATGTGCGTAGCTGGGGGCGGGGCCTCCGTTGCGGTGGTGGTGCGAGTTGGTGAACACCAGGTTGTTGCCCACACTCTGGGGGGAGGGCGGGTCCACACAACCCACCTCCCCCCCGCCGCCCGGCTTCTGCAGCAGAGACACCAAGCTGGAAAACACAAGGGGGGACGTGTGACCCAACTCCAGCATCAACACCGCCATTACAATCCAGCTGTAGCACTTAATCTGGCGAATTACGGTGACACAGGAATACACCCGACGGCAACAATAATAAAGGGACTGTGACATTTTACATGGTTCTGAGTATGACACGTAGTCGAATGTTCCCCCTAAGTGTTCATGATCATCCTACAGCACACAGGCGGGTTACCTTTGCCCAGGTGTGATATGGTTCTCAGTCACAGGTGCCGAGGAGGCGGTGAACACTTTGGTCTCAGACAGCTGAAGTGGAAGAGATGAATCTCAATCAGTCAGGGTTCCCCATTCACATCTCATTAATACCTGGAAGGACTTTGCTACAACATTTACATGTTAAATGTAAGGTTTTGAAGGAATATTTTTACTGCTCCAACAGACAAATTCCTCTGAAACTTCAAAGATGGAACCGCAGTGGGCAAAACCTCAAAATGAATTTCTGCATTTTTCCTATTTTTCCCAGATACACATGAGGATGCTTTGGCAGCGAGTATCAGCCACCACACATTTGGCAGTGGACTTAATGCATAAGCCAGCAAGCTAGCCCATTTGTTATCTGCACACCGGATATCTGACCACCTCCGTGACTTCCACGTCTTTTCAGGATGGAAATACTTCAAAGTGTAAATCAAAGGACTTCCAAGGACAGAGAGAATCCTGAGCATTTTATCCACCGTGCTCTCACTGAAACAGTTAAAAGCTCTGCGCTGTAGCTAACGCGCTGTTGTGAGAGGCTGAGAAAGGGGCAGGCTGGCTTTAAACAGAGCCGTTGTTCCGCCCCCTTCCCCGTTCGCCCCCCTGACCCCGGCACTCACGTCCTCGTTCCAGTCTTCTGCTGCCCAGTCGTCCAGCGTGCTTCTCCACGCTCCTGCTGGCGGAATGGGGGCGGAGTCAGACACGGGGGTTACGTTACATTACATTATTGTCATTTAGCAGACGCTCTTACTCAGAGTGACTTGCAGATTTTACAAGATACACATCACACAGCAAGCAGGAAAGAGTGACACCACCCTATGGACTACAGTGCTCTATCTGTTCTGCTTTAATCCAGGATCCCTTACTGAGAACGCTACACTACATTACTGTCATTTAGCAGATGCTCTTATCCAGAGCAACTTACAGATTTTTACAATTTTGACATTTTATTCATTTATATAGATGGATATGTACTGAGGCATTGTGGGTGAAGTAACTTGTCCAAGGGTTCAACAGCAGTGCCCCAGCGGGGAATCGACCCAGCAACCTTTTGGTTACGAGCCTCATATCTTACCACTACACCACACTGCTGCACCTAGGTCCAGATCGGGGGGGTGTGTGTCTGGTTCTCACCTGTCCCGTTGTTGGTGTCGTTGGCCCCCGTCTCCCAGGTGTCCGAATGGGACCCCCCTGCCCCTGAGTCTGTGGTGTAGTCAGCTGGGTTAAAGGTCCTGCAGGGACAGGGGAGTGGGGTGAAGAGGAGGGAGCACAGGAGGGTCAATCAGTCAAACTACAAACCACAGCCATGGAACACAGTGAGGTGGCCAATGCACTAGTTTCAGTTACGTCTTTATCAACAAGCGCACAATTCCAGACTCCAATTCTCTAACACATGTACGGATAAAAAAAAACACACACCCACATAAAATTCAGGTTCAGTGACGTGCTTGTAGCTATCAATAAGTTCACAATTTCACGCTCAATTTCTCTGACACATGTACGGATGCAAACGGTCTCTCTCTCTCTCTCACACACACACACACACACACACACACACACACACACACACACACACCTTCAAAAATCAGTGACCAGAGTAAGCAAGGGAAACAAAGTTTGAGCCCAAAAGGCATCTGCAGTAGGATACTCAGTCCTCTCCATCATGCGGTACTCACCCCATTCCCTGTGCTGAAAACCTGCTCCCGCCAGCAGCCCGGCCTCGCCCTCGGCCTCCAGACCCTGGGGACACACATCATGGCTGCATTTAACAGTGAAACAAGCAGCAAATCCCCTCAACAGGTAGCATATGCTTCTGCAATCAATTCACATCTCTCACCACTAGGGGGAGTAAGAAATTAAACCCTGAACCATCTTGACCATATCTGAAGAAATGTCAGCCGTTATTCAACAGATAAGACTCACCACATGCTCATAAAAAGTACCGTGATTAATCATCATATTCTGGCATTCCAACAGCCCAAATGCAGTGGACAACAAACATATGTAGGGGATGAGCCGTTTCACGATTAAGAATGAGACCATTAATACAGGGACAGAAAAAAACCCATTTAATACACTTTCAAAATGTATTTTAGACTTAATAGGCTGTAAGCCATTTGGGAGGGCACCAATTTTATAAATACACACATCCATGTGTAGGAATATGAAACTGTAGAGACCTCTTGGCTACCACACTAGATCTTTGCCTATTCTGGCAGCAACTGTTGCCAGTGGAGCCAATATTTTAAAAGTGAATACTGATTGGGGGATCCAGTAATAAATAAGATAGTGTGACATGCAAATGAATTACTAAGACAGAACTTCTACAGTTTGGATTTGGTAAAAGGGGGAAAAAAAGCTAGTTTACATCATAGGACATTCACATAACACACCTAGTGTCCTCCCCTCAGGAAAGTAATGTCCCTGCAGGTTGCTCTGCAGAGAGTAAACAAGGCGCCGGCCTTGCAGCTTTCATCTCTGCCATCAAAGAGAGAGGGCTCTCGGCAGAGGAGGCGGGAGAGAAAACAGCATTCTTTCCCTTCTCAATGTTGCTGGATATTTCATCAGTCGCCTTGGTTCGCGGCCTGCATCCTCACAGAATTCTCACGATCGGGGGGGCGTTCGCTGGTTAGGAACCTCCGCCCCCGCGGCCACCCTGGCTGTAGGGGTCCGTGCTGTCTATGGATGCTGCCTTGTGCCTGCCACCCATAACAACTGCAAGCTAGAACCCTCAGGGTCATGAGAGGTCACTCCACTATCAGGCCCGGATATTAAAGAGAAAACATCATGGGGACTCAAAAGACTCAATGTCATTTTTGCATACGAGGCCTAAACTGCAAATTACTCATCCCCAGGACAGCTGACCTCTGAGGGTCTTAAAGTCCAGTCGAAGATGGCTCGGCATCTATAATGAGGTTAACGCGCGATGAAAGTTTGTTAAGCGTCACACATTACAGAGCGGTTCAGGTTTTCTGAAAGATCTGTATCAGCATACACAGAAAGCAACCCCCATTCCATGAACACATACTGTGCCACCTCATACCAAACGTAGTGGAGTGAAAGAACCAGCTAACAAACAAGCCACTGTCTACCCCTGCTCTGTAGACCACTTGGAGAAGCCCAGCTATCAAACGGCTATCACACACCTAGCCTGGTGCTTAATGTCATGCAATGTTGACTGATGTAATGAGTCTAAACTCCCATGTGATCAATCAGTCAAGGAATGATGAGGGAAAAAATGGAGGAGATTCCATTAGCGATAGGAACGAGTGTTCCCGTGACTGTCACTCATCACCCGCCTGCAAGAGACACGTCCCTCGGTCCCTCATCATCCCTCAGCGCTGGATCAAATTCCCCTTTAGGCATCAGTTAATCTCACCCCCTCAGCTGCACACATGCATGGTAAACACGCACGGAGACAGAGGCGAGCTCTCCCGGTCTCTGTATTCTGCTCTTTGGCGCCCCCTACCCTCCTCTTTCCTTCGAGCGCCCCTCTCCCCTCAGCAGCTGCTTGGCACGGCGCATTCCTCACATGCTGGCCAGCGCTCTGGGTAATTGCTGCGCGACACAAATAGAGACACTGCCAAGAAGAATCCTGCATCTGCCCCCCCTCTACGCGCCGTGACCCGGTGCCGGGGTAACCGGGGCAGAGGAACGAGCAGGACCACTCGAGTCCGCCCGGGTCTCCAGCCTTTAAGCTCAACAGAAAGTGCTGTTACTGGGCGCTGCCCCAACCCAGAGGGAGGGTATGACAGCCCTATTCAATCTACCGCTACTCCCTTCCTCTTCTGCTTTTTACAATCTCTACGCCTTCCAACGCTGTCTCAGTCTTAGAGAAATCTACTGCTTAAGTCCGCGTGTCAAACACTCGGACCTCCAACGGGAGTTCGTTTTCCTTACTGCTGCTGCAGCCTCTTACGTAACAGAGAAAAGTAGCAATTGGGAGTCGTAAACTTTCCTTCTTGAGCAACAGTCAGAGGTGCTAACGTAAACACTTTTACATTTGTTACAGACTGCTGGCCAGCACAGAAAGCAAAATGTGCTCACACCACATGCCCGTTAATCCAGATCATGCCAAGGAACGACAACGTCTGTAACGCACGCGTGGAGATTTCAGATATGGAATGTGACCAACCCAAAGTGACTTCTAACCCCCCGCCCCTCAACCCCACACCACTGTAAAATGATAGACAGGCCAGCCTGGGAACAACAGGATAAGACAAACAACAGGTGCTTGATTTGAAGTTAAGAAGAGGTTTGAAACGATGTAACACCCCACTGGTGTCTGGCAGTGTCAAGTACTTTAATGTACCAATAAAAAAAGAGTGTCTGGTTGGCACCCATAAAATATAAACTAAATTATTTTACACATAAACATCTGAAAATGTAGATATTTAAATATATATTTAAACATAAATATAGATGCATAAGTCATTTCTCTCCTATTGTTCAGCTCTCTCACAGATAACTCAGGTTTCTACGTGGTATTTCAGTGTGTGAGCCAGCCTCTCCCAGCATTACAGCATTTTTGATGAATAGAGAGGTCCTGATAAAACTACAGTAAAGCCTGAGAATGACAGAATGAACAGTGTAAAAATCCCCATTGGGGTGTATGAGCTCACCTCTGCCTCTTCCCCGGCGGCCGCGGTCTGACCCTCTCTCTCCCGGGCCCTGGTCCACCCCATTCTCCTCTATGCGCACTGCAAGGCACAGGGGAGACATAGCTGTGTTATGTGCATCTCACTCTCACTCTCTCTCACACACACACACACACACCTAAAGATTACACTAAATACTACAGCTACATATACTACAATGCAATAAGTGACATAGCTCTGTGCTCTTCATATGTACAAGCTAGGCTACCCAAACCCACAGCTTAAATCACACAACTTCACATGCAACATCACAGCCCAGTAGCCACAGTATAACACCCTCCCTCCTCTCCCAAACACCCCTTGCTCTCCCTTCTAGCCTTCCTTAAAGCACTGGAGGGTCCTTTCTTCTCCAAAACAAATTTCGCCAGTGACTACACAGGACAGCCTGTCCTACTGGGTGTTCATATGTATGCACAGTGCACATAAACTGGGGCTGGGTCTCTGGGAAATATTTTTGGAGCCCCCGTAAAAGTGTCCCCCACTTGTGAGGAAGGCGCGTTACCCTCGCGGCCGCGGCTGGCCCCCCGGCCCCTCCTGCTCGGCCCCCCGCGGCCCCGGCTGGCCTCCCTCTCTCCTCTCTTCTCCCGGCTCTCTTTGTTCTCTGAAGAGGGCCCCTCCTTCCCCAGGCCCCTCTTCTTCCCCACCGTCTCCCACGAGGTCTGAGCCAAAAGGAAACGAGCAGAGGGGACGAAGGCAATGGGTGGAGGGAATCACACAGCAGGCGCAGGTTTACACAAAAGGGCATTCCGGTTCAGGGACATGCCCGGAGCTCAGTGGGAATGGCTTACCTTTATGCTAAAACCAAAACATGGTACACTGTTAAAAAGCCCTACCAAAACAGCTCCCAGATAGTTTTATGTACCAGTGCTACATTAAGTATATTTTTAATAATTACCCATCACTGAGTACAGCTTGCAATGGAAACGTTAGAGAGCTTTTATAGAATCTGAAACCAAATGAGTCAAAACATGCACAGGACGGCCTTCAATCATATGAACACTTGTATCACTGCATTTTCACAGCCTGGCAACATGCAATGTTTTTCATACACCGTTCAATAATCTCCTTCACACAATTAGAAGTTACTGAAACTGGTATGCTACAACCATGACTTCAGTTTTTAGCGTGTTACATATTCCATATGAATCACACCGAGTCCTGACATTGCCCCCAGTTTGTACAGCCTCCCAGCACCTTTCAACTGTAACCTTATCCACAACATGACCTTGCCCTGAATGGAGGATTAAAATAAAAATTAAAAAACAAATAAATAAACAAACACTGTTTTGGGGTTGTGCCTTATTAAGTGTAAGTCTGTGAGCAACTGATTACAGGACATCTCAACCAAAAAGCTGTGGTGTCAGAGGCATAATCCGGAGGCATACATATACTGTGAGCCCACTATCCATGAGCAGATGGCATCACAATGCCACT